CGTCTGCCGTGCCAGGGCGGACTGGGGTGTCGGCTATGAGACACAAGCTGGAGATGGCACTCGGAGTGTGTGCAGTGCTGGTGAGATGTCTTGTGACAGAGAGGTGCAGCAGACAGTGCGTGGGCATCGTGACTCGCCCGATGATCTACCGACTTCGTCGTCTGGTGCGGGATAGGTGTCGGCCTCAGCAGTGAGAAATGCTGGGGATGACTTGCCTGAGGTGTGATATGCTGGTGCGACGTCTCGTGACGATGAGGTGCAGCAGCCAGGCCTACGGCATCATGCTTTGTCTTGGGATCGGATTACTTCGACTTCGCCGTCGGGACGTGCCTGCTGCCGCTGAGGCCGTGCCTCACCCGTCCGGTTGCTCCCCCTCTGATTTTCCCTCCTTGCTGCCGCCTAGAAAGGCCCCGCACACAGCCCGACGCCGTGCGATTCTTTCGGGATGCTGGGTTCGGGTCGAGTCTGGCGGGGTCCGCGGCGCGCCTCCGTGGGTTTCAAACCTAGTTGTGTTTTCCTGGTCAAGCTCGGGGGGCTTCAAAGCCCTGTGAGTTGCGGGCGGGCTGGAGGCCCGAATTCGCGGCAGCCATGTCGGTCCAAGGGCAATTCGGGGTTGCTGGAGTCACCCCTCTGCTACCAGAGGTGTCTGTCTGTCCTCAGCCTCCTCCTCCTCCTCCTCGTCCTCCTCCTCCTTCTCCTCCTCGTCCTCCTCATCCTCCTATTCCTTCTCCTCCTCTTCATCCTCCTCATCACTAAAACCACCACCACCACCACCATCCGCATCAGCATCAGCATCATCATCATCATCAGCAGCAGCATCATCATCAGCATCATCAGCATCGTCATCATCATCATCATCATCATCATCATCATCATCATCATCATCATCATCAGCCTCATCCTCATCATCATCATCATCATCATCATCACCATCATCAGCATCATCATCGTCATCATCATCATAATCATCATCATCGGCAGCATCATCAGCATCATCATCGCCATAATCGGCATCAGCAGCAGCAGCATCATCAGTATCAGCATCGTCAGCATCATCATCAGCATCATCACCATCGCCATCATCAGCATCATCATCAACAGCAGCATCATCAGCCGTATCAGCCGCAGCACCGTCATTATAGTCAGCATCGTCACCATCAGTATAAGCATCATCATCATCAGCAGCAGCATTAGCATGAACATCAGCATCGTCGTCAGCAGCATCAGCAGTAGCAACATAATCATCGTCAGCAGCATCAGCATCATCATCAGCGGTATCACCATCAGCAGCGTTAGCGTCAGCATCATCAGCATCATCATCATCATCATCAGCATCAGCATCATCATCATCATCATCATCATCATCATCATCATCATCATCATCATTATCAGCATCATCATCATCATCATCATCATCATCATCGTCGTCATCATCAACTTTATCATCATCACCAGCAGCAGCATCAACATCATCGTCAGCATCAGCCGCATCATCAGCATCACCAGCAACAGCAGTACCATCATCAGCAGCAGCATCGTCAGCGGCATCATCAACATCATCAGCACCATCAGCAGCATAATCAGCGTCAGCATCATCATGAACCTCAGCAGCATTAGCATCAGCAGCAGCAGCATCGTCAGCAGCAGCAGCATCAGCATTAAAAGCAGCAGTGGCAGCAGCAGCAACAGCATGATTACAAACATCCTCAGCAGCATCAGCAGCATCAGCATCATCAGTATCATCAGCAGTAGCATCATCATAGTTGTCGCCATCATCAGCATCAGCAGCAGCAGCATCCTCATCCCCAATATCATCAGCGACAGCTGCATCATCAGTATCATCGTCAGCAGCATCAACAGCATCATCAAGAACATCATCAGATTCAGCATCATCATCATCATCATCATCATCATCATCATCATCATCATCATCATCATCATCAGCGACATCATCATCATTACCATCACCAGTGTCAACATCGTCAACGTCAGCATCATCATCATCATCATCATCATCAGAATCAGCATCATCATCATCATCATCATCATTATCATCAACATCATCATCATCATCATCATCATCATCATCATCATCATCATCATCCCCATCCTCAGATTCCTCTTCCTCCCCCTCCTCCGCCTTCTCGTCCTCCTCCTCCCTCTCCTCCTCCTCCTCCTCCTCAGCCCATCCGCCTCCTCCTCCTCCTCCTTGCCCTCCCTCTTCCCCTGCCCCTCCTCTTCCGCCTCTTCCTCCTCCGCCGCCTCTGCCTCCGACTCCGCCTCCGCCTCCGCCTCCGCCTCCGCCTCCCCATCCTCCTCCAACTCTTCGTCGTTTTCGTCTTCGTCTTACTAGCGATAGTTGTTAGTCGTATGAGTGTACTTCTTACATCGTCATTCTGAATGGTATTCGTAATATGGATGTTCTTAATAGTAGTCTTCTTAGCAAGAGCGTGTGGCTTGTTCTTTGTGCTATTCTGACTAAGAATTATTGGCATTATTC